GTCCTGGGTTAGTCCTGGGTTAGTCCTGGTTCAGTCCTGGTTCAGTCCCGAGTTAGTCCTGGGTTAGTCCTGGTTCAGTCCTGGTTCAGTCCCGAGTTAGTCCTGGGTTAGTCCTGGTTTATGACTGAGACGAGAACCAGACCAGGACTGAGCCCAGGACTTAGACCGGGACCAGAGCAGGACTGAGACTGGTTAGACCTAGTTTGGACCTGGTTTAGACCTGTTTTAGTCCTAGTTTAGACCTGGTTCAGTTCGGCATCGTAGTTTAAGTCACGAAAACGAGAAACGTTGGTTATCCGTTTTTTCCATTATTAATTTAAACACAAAATCAAAAACTGAAAAAACAAATCATCATCTGTTTTTTTCATTTTGGTTTTGGAAACAAATAATGAAGAAAATAATATTTTTTTTTATTTTTTTGTTTTTAGTTTTGAAAAACGAATGAACGAATGATACTCGAATTTATTCTGGTTGTGAGCGGGGTCGCCTCTCCACAGATCTGGCCTGTAACTTGGTCTGGTTTGATCTCCGTGAAGATGGAAAAGTTTAATATCATACTGTGAAACATTCAAACATTCCAGACAAAGCAAAAACATATCCATAGAGAAAAGAATCTGATGGACCCTCTACCAGAAAAGTTACACAATGCACCTTTAAATCATTTTTAACATGCTCCGACACGACAATTCTACATAAATATACAAAAACATGATACAAAACTGTACACTACAACTTCACAAACCTGATGCGATGTGCAATAGTTTCATTAGTGGGACAGGGTTGTGGTGTGATAGCGTTCTGAAGGGAGAGTGAGTTAGCGCGGAGAGCAAAGGGAGGGAGGCATTTTCAAAACAATAAAAGGTAACATGGTGATCAAAATATTTCATTAGTCAGCGATTAATACCCCATAATACAAGTAAAATATCCCCTCTTTAAAACTTTTTTCTCGCTCCTGACTGTGATGGGGGCCGGTGTAGGGTTGGGGCCATATAACAGAACTGTACGACCTTCATGACACAGATGTCCCGCTCACAGTCAAAATGTAAGTATTTTTGAGCTTTAAAACCACCTGTAATTGAATAAATTTAAGATAAAACTGTTTAAGTCTCAGTTTTAATCGTAACACCTCAGAGCTCATGCTACATACAGCTCCTTTATTTATATTGCCTCAGAATTATTAATGTCAGTGTGAAAGGGCAGAGTATTGATACTTCGCAGTGACGTCACGCTGGGAATGTTCTACGTGTATGTCTATAGTGGAATGTTCAGCAGTTATCGCGGAGACACAAAGCAAAGACTCATGAAAAAGTTTTAAAATACCATATTTTCCGCACTATAGGGCGCACTTAAAAGCCTATAATTTCATCAAAATACGACTGTGCGCCTTATAACCCAGAGTGCCTTATATATGAATTTATTGGGGTGTCTTAGTACGACTTTAGTAAACTACAAAGCCGCACCCACTTGCAGCATTACGGCTCTCGTAGTCAGGAGCATCGCGGAGTAAAACATACTGTGATTCCTTTTAATATCAAAATGCACCTGTCAAGAGACACGCTCACAACGCCCACTTTAAACTCAAGGCTGTTATAAAGTGAAAGTGTGAGCTGCGTGGGAGCAGTGGACGAGAGAAGGAGAACACACATTCACCAAGACAGAGAGACAGCGCCGAGCGACTTACGCCACGATCTGCAAACGGGTCGTGGACGCCTGGGCTAAGGATCAGTACCAACTGTGGTCCGAGCTTTCACCAAGACCAGAATCATCACTGAACGGCCAGGGAACAGTAACCACACTGACTCGGATAATGATGAGAGGAAGGCGGGTGTGCTGGACGCCATAATCACCCAACTGTTTGAACAATTATGAGTTATTGTGAATACACTAACAATTTAGCCTCTCAGACAGTATTATTTTTGACGCGTTACAATTGAACAAAGTTGAGAGTTATTGTGAGCACGTTAAATAAAGTTTGACTGGCTTATCTAACTGTTAATTTAATGCTCCTCATATAGTTTATATGTGAAAAAAGTTTGAAAATAGACCATTCAATGACAGTGCGCCTTATAATCCAGAGCGCCCTATAGTGCGGAAAATACGGTATTTCTTCACTATTTGTCTACAAAAACCAAAATAACGAATTGTTTTTTTCAGTTTTCGATTTTGTGTTGAAACGAGTAATAGAAAAAATTGATCAAAACTGGAGATGCCGGACAAAGCATCCGGACTGAACCAGGACTAATCCCAGGACTTTGACAAAATTGAAAAAACAAATCGTTATCTGTTTTTTCATTTTGGTCTAATTCAGAGCGTCATATAGTGCGGAAAATACGGTAGTCTGAAAACTTAAGAAAAAAATTACCTATTGTAGTTCCAACTAAATCAGCTCTTTTTGGTCAGATTAAAGTCTAATTTGAGTAATAGAACGTTATTTATTAATCTATTTATTGCTCATGCTATTATTTTGTTGGCATCAATTGAAAGAACAACAACAACAACAAATCTGAAAATGAACATAAACACATATTTCTACAATTATTTGCCTCGTCTTTGCTGCATGAACAAAAGGAACAGGAAGAATAAAATCTTATAAACCCTGCTCCTTTTACAGATCAAAAAATTGAACATTTCTTTAGACAGAGCAGTGCCCCCAGTTAACTTCACACCCCCAGGGAAAGTTGAAGACGTCAGCTGCAAAGTATCAAGAAACTAGACTCAGAACACAGACGCTTTCCACTGCTGTTCACTGTATAAAAAGTAAATAGTACAAAATATAAAAACAAATCCAGTCTGAAATACACATCTGCATGTTACTGATAAAACTTGTGCTACTTTCAGAGGCGGAAGAAGTACTCAGTTTTGTTAAAAGTACAGATACCGGAGCAAAGAAAATATAAAAATCAAAGTTAAAGTATCACATGAAAAAAGTACTTGTGTAAAAGAGTGAAAAGTGGAAGTATTTCACGCAGATTTTGAGGTCTAATAAAGCTTCAAATATAGTGATTTTGATTCTTATTTGTGCTGGATTTTAAAACATTTGATCATTACTGTAATTTTTTTCCTAGCTGTTTTTATTTGTTTATTTTTTATTGTTATACTTTTGTTTGCTCAGATTATGAATGTGTTAGAAATAAAACAACCTAAATACTTTTACCTTTCAGTCCAGTTCAGACTGACTGAAAGAAAAATCTGTATTTCACACAGATTTTGAGGTCAAATAAAGCTTCAAATGTTGTGATTTTGATTCAGTATTGTTCAAATGTTGTGATTTTGATTCAATGTTGTTCAAATGTTGTGATTTTGATTCTTATTTGTGCTGGATTTTTAAAACAATTTATCATTACTGTGAATTTTTTCCTAGCTGTTTTTATTTGTTTATGTTTTGTTGTTATACTTTTGTTTGCTCAGATTATGAATGTGTTAGAAATAAAACAACCTTAATACTTTTACTTTTCAGTCCAGTTCAGAAATGTAGTGGAGTATAAAGTACACACACCTGCTCCCAAATGTAGTGACGTAAAAGTACTTTAAAATGTACTTAAGTAAAATACAGATAGCTCAGATTTAGTTTAAAGGTGCATTGTGTAACTTTTTTGGTGGAGGGTCCATCAAATGTTTTTTTTTTTTCCATGGATATGTTATTGTATTTGTCTGGAATATTTCGCAGTATGGCATTAAACCTTTCAATCTCCATGGAGACCAAACCAGACCAAGGTATTAGGTATTTTTGAGTTGCTGTGATTGAAGAAATGTAAGGTAGAGCTATTAATGTCCACAGAAACAAGCAGGTGATGGACCCCCCCAAACAAAAATGTTACACAATGCGTCTTTAATTACAGTACATTACAATTGCTCTGGTAAAAATGTTTGCTTGAAAAACTGTATAACAGCTACTCCCCATGAGAGGCTGGACGTGGCCGGGCCTCTCCTCTGCCCTGGCCTCCTTCTGTGCTCTCCTCCTCCCTCCTCTATACTCTCCTCCTTTGCCTCCTCTGAGCTCTCCTCCTCCTCCCCTCTCCTCCCTGGCCTCCTCTCTCCTCTGTGCTCTCTTCCCTTGCCTCCTCCGCTCTCCTCCCCTCTCCTCCCTGGCCTCCTCTGTGCTCTCCTCTCCCTGTCCTCCTTCATTCTCCTACGTGGCCTTCTCGAAACTATCCTCCCTTGCCTCCTCTGTGCTCTCCTTCCTGGCCTCCTTCCCCTCTCCTCCCTTGCCTCCTCTGTGCTCTCCGCCTTGGCCTCCTCTCTCCTCTGTGCTCTCCTCCCTTGTTTCCTCCCCTCCGCTCCCTGATATCGTCTGTGCTCTCCTCCCTGGCCTCCTCTCCTTCCCTCTCTAGCCTCCTTTGTGCTCTCAACCCTGGCCTCCTCCGTGCTCTCCTCCCTGAACTCGTTCCTGCTCCTCCGTGGCCTCCTCTGTGCTCCTGCCTGGCCTCCTCTCTCCTTTGTCCTCTCCTCCCTCACCTCCTCTGTTCTCTCTTCCTTGGACTCCTCTACGCTCCCCTCCCCGGTTTTCTCTCCTTCCTTCCTTCCCTCCCTTGCCTCCTTTGTGCTCTCAACCCTGGCCTCCTCTGTGCTCTCCTCCCCTCTCCTCCCCTTCCCTCTCCTCCCTGGTCTCCTCCCTTCTCCTCCCTGATCTTCTCCCCTCTCCTCCCTGGCCTCCTCCGTGCTCTCCTCTCTAGTTTCCTCTCCTTCCCTCCCTGACCTCTTCCCCTCTTCTTCCTGGACTCCTCCTCGCTCCTCCTTGGCCTCCACTGCGCTCTCCTCCTCCCTTCTCCGGCTCTCCTCCCTTCCCCTCCCTGGCCTACCTTTTGCTCTCCTCCCCTCTCCTCCTCTGTGCTCTCCTCCCCTCTCCTCCCTGGCCTCCTCTGCGCTCTCCTTCCCGGCCTCACCCGCTCTCCTCCTCCCTCCTCTATACTCTCCTCCTCGGCCTCCCCTGAGCTTCCCTCTCTTCCCTGTCCTCCTCCCCTCCTCTCCTCCGTGACCTCCTCCGGGCTCTCCTCCCTGGCCTGTGTGGAGCGCTGGGTCTCAGTAGCGGCTCTGGTGCTCAAAGTGCCAGCGGTTGAAGTCTATGTTGAACGCTACGATGCTTCCAGACGCCATCCCAGTGATCAGAGTCCTACAAGAGAAACACGAGTAAGATCATAAAACACGTGAGTATTTTTGATCTACGGTACAATGTTGTTTCCTTAAAATACAACCGTTGATATGCGTTTATTCGTGTTTCGTTTCATTCACACGTTTTAAGTCTATTATTCTATCTATCTATTGTGCAAAATTGACTCTTGTGAGCTTTAAGCCATATTAGAATGCTGTTAAATCCTCAAAAACAGACCACATGATTGAGTAATCCTTCATTATTAGTCAGTCTTACCTTACCTAACCGTAACTTTGCAAAATAGTCCCTCTTTAAGGAGCTAAAATAAAATAAGATCGGTGAGTTTTTCATTCTTTGTTCTCCTGATCTCAAAGCCACGTGTTTCGCTTCACAGTGAGCGGAGGACAGAAACTACAGTGTGTTCAGTGTCTTGCCTAAAGACACAACAGCAGTATGCAGGGGTCAGAGGTGAGAGGAAGAACGCGGTCAGCCTTCGCCTCCACAAATGTACTTCACTAAATCAATACATTAAGAAGTGCAGTTACTCTCACCTCTGCTCACTCCAACTGTAAATTTTAACTCAACTCAATAGAATCCTTGTTCTACTTTCTCTCTTTCTACCCCTCGTCTAAACTCTCTTTCTATCTGTTATTTATTTGCCTGGAATGTTCCACACTACGGCATTTAACATATGTCTATTGTGTTTTTTTTAATTTACTGATGTTTATAAATGTTTAAATAAATGTTTGTAAATATACCTCAAAAACTAAATCTTACTAAATGTTTTTTCACCTCTTCACAGATCTGAGTTTATTTCAAAAACTGTTACAATTATTCATCCCCAAAGACTTTAAACCACAGGTGTCAAACATAAGGCCCGGGGGCCAGATCCGGCCCCCCAAGACCTTTAATGTGGCCCTTGGGTGATTTTCTACTAAAATATTTTAATTATATTTTCTATTAAAATGTTGGTAATTTTCTGTGGTGTTTATCACAGCAGCGTCTCCAGCGTCTCTGTACGTGGCCCCTCCCACCAGAGCAGCACAAATGAAGACTTGTCTCTTTCCAAACGCTCTTAAAGGACGATCGTTTTGACTGTTGACCGTGACACCCTCATCAGAAAAATGTCCAACATGAGAAAAGTGGAGCCAAGTGCAGGATTTTCCAATAAAAATTGACTTATTCCTATTTACATACAAGTTCATGTTCAAACATTGTGTTGAAATTGAATTTTTCTTAAAGTTTCAGATTGTTCATAATATTATAATATTATAATAAGAAAGAGTTCATCAATTAAAAAAGATGTCTGTAATAGATTTGCGTTTCTCTGCACAAATATTTGAATTTATTGTTATTTTTGGGGTTTATATGCCATGAGTTTTCTGATCCAGCCCCTTTGGGATCAAAGTAGGTTGGATACGGCCCCCGGAACAAAATTAGTTTGACACCCCTGCTTTAAACCATAAGCCGATCTCAAACAAATGAGAAGATTCAACATTAGAGATAGATATAGAGATCAGATAGACTTATATAGGCCTTTGCTCTCCACTTGAAATTTGTCATAATCAAATTTTAAGGTTAGAGTTAAAGGGAAAAATACAGAAGACTGGACCTGGTGTTCCAAAATGTTCCCGAAATAGCCGAGTTGTTAAGTGGACAAAAGCATCAGGACTGAACCCTCAGTCTACTCGTTATATCTCTACGTCAACTATATTATGCAAATTCTAAAACTAATAACAATGAGGGAAAAACATGATCTGACCCGCTCTGTTTTCAGCAGTGAACTCTGAGCGCTTGCACATCCGTTGCTCTGGGCAGGTCCATACATCCTCCTCTCCATGTGATGTATGAATCTGACTGTAGGCCAGAGGTCGTTTAGCCTGAGGCGTGACCCCCCGTGACCCCCGACCCCTCAGGTCACATGATGAGGTCACTGTCACAGGGTTGTAGTCAACAGCGGCAGCCTTATCCACATGTGAGCGCACTTGTATTCAGAGACGTGTGCGCGGAGCAAGAGCCGCATACTGAAACATATGCCCTTGGTCTTGATACAGTGACTTTACAGTGACATGAACAGCTTTGACGGAGCCCACGTACCTTTAATCAGACCTGGAACAGCAGTCTTAGGTCTGTATCTCACTGCAATGTAATGCTCTTGAGGTAATAATGTCAGAATCACTTTCATTTGTAATAAAAAGTTCTGCCTATGATCATTTTGGCCAATTGTGCAGGAGGCTTGAGAGCAAACAGACTTGAGAGCCGCATTTGACCCCCAGGTCATAATCTGGACAGCCCTGGGGTAAACTTCAAAACTTTGTTATAATGTTGTTTCCTCATTGGCAATATGCCCTGAGTTGTGTTCATTTGTCTCGTTCAATAATCCTGAAACATCCAAATGTCTTAAAAAAAAAAGTGAACAACAGAACTACATAATAGGGATGTCCCAATCACAATTTTTTGCCCCCGAGTCCTTTGATTTTGAGTATCTGCCGATACCGAGTCCCGATCTGATACTTCTATAAAAATTATAAAATGAACTAAGAGCAAAGAACAAGATCCAGGATGTGTGGGGATCAGATTGTGTTGATTTCAATGTGTAGTATTTGAGCTGAACTTGTGAAAAATCAAATGTACAAAACTTGAATTGAATTAACTTTTCTAACCATTCACCATCATTGTTGAAAACTTTACTTTTACCACAGTCTGGTCTTGGAATGTGTAACTTAGTAAACTTAATGAACTGAACAGAACAGGAACCAGACCAGAATCAGATCAGACCTGAGACTAAACTCTGCACAATCTACAGTTTGTATATTTGATATTATATGATATTATATGATATTATAAATAAACACAAGATGACAGAAGCCCCACAGTCCCTCTCCCCACCACCACATCCACAAACACCAGAGCATGCACCGCAACATCAGTCTCACTGCTCAACAGACACTTCATGTCGCTTTTCCCACCCTCCCTGCCAAAAGCACCAACTCCGTTGCACATCATACAAAGAAACAGCGCTGTGTGACGACGCCATCGGCTGCGCAGGTGTGAACACGGGCCACAGAACCACAGGTAACAACGCCCGAGCACGACACGGCCCAAAAGTCCCGTGAGTGTGCCGCTAGTACAGCAGGCGCTGGGACAGAAAGACGCTCTGACTGGACGTCCCTGAGCCAATCCCACGCCTCACGAAAAAAAACAAAAAACAAAACCGTTGTGTGCTATATTATTTATCCCCGATACCTGATTGAACCATAACGGTCGAGTCCGGTTCGAGTCTGCAGTCACATGATGGGCGCCGATTTCCGATCACGTGATCAGATCGGGACAACCCTACTACATAATTTGAATTGGTTTGCTGTGGTCCCATTGTCTGTCAGATCCAGTGATGTCTGTTTGTGTTTTTTATACAGAGATATCAGTCTGGTCCCCACGCCCTCTGTTACACCTAAAGCGACAAAACTTTCATTGATTCAACAGAAATCCTCTACGTTTTTCAGTCACCTGTGATATTTTTTCAATCATTTTTTTCTCGTACTAAGCAGACATATTTCTTTTGATACAAACGGACCATGCGTGACCGTGATTGGCTGATCCACCTGTCAATCACTCCCATCTGAACTCCGGGAGATTAAACAGTGACCAGACTCACTTAGTATTGGAGGAGAGTGTATTCTGCCTCTCATCAATCATCACTTTTAGTGCTAGTAGCGGTTACCATCACAACACCGATGCTCTGACTCCCCCTCTTCTTGCTCTCCGGCTGATTCCACATCACTCCCCCTTCAGAGCTCTATCACGTTACAATCAGCGTGCACCCTGCTAAAGAAACTAGAGTTTTTTTTTTGTTTTTGTTTGTTTGTTTCAGGTGACAGGCCCTGGAGAGATCGCTAGATTACTCAAACATCTAAAACCTCTTCAGGCATTAGATCAGGGAAACGTGTTAGAACATGGGAGAAAGCTGAAAAAGGTACATTTTGAATAATATTTTCTCTTTAATCTAAACAAAACGGCTCTTGTTTTGGTATCATGGTTGAAAAAAACAGTTGATTTTATATCCATGGAAGTTATACCTGAAAACAGATGCATACGAAAAGAGATCCTGTGCTTGTTATTTCTGTTCTCCCAAAAACCTCGCTTAAGAAGCAGTTGCGTCTCTATGGCAACTGCCTTGTCTCCAGGAACATTTGTAAGTGGTCTCTCTGACAGCTGTGAAAAGCAGGCAGCACAGGGCTTTTTAACCAGCCCACGCAAACAGCACAGAGGCTCATATCTGCACACACACAGACGTACTGCACAAACCCACGCAACCGCAGCCGAGGAAGGTAACGAAGTACTGAAGTAAACGGACAAATTGGAGGTATCTGTACTTTCCTTAGAGGGGAATCGTGTAACTTTTCCAGGGGAGTGTCCGTCAAATGCTTTTCTCCCTGAAGATGTTATTGCTTTGTCTGGAATTTTTCACAATATGGGATGAAACCAAACCAGGCCAAGTTACAGGTCAGATCTATGGAGAGGTGACGCCGCTCACAGTCAGAATGTCAGTTTTTCTAGGTATTTTTGAGCGCTAAAACCACCTGTAATTAAATAAATGTAAAGTAGAGCTGTTTAATGTCATCCATAGAAATAAGCAGGTGACGGACCCTCCACCAGAAGTTACACAATGCACCTTTAAATGAGTTTTTTGTACTTTCTACTCCACTACATTTTTGTGGTGGATACCTCTGCCACCACACCATAGTGTCAGTATTATTTAATTTCATTTCCTTTAAGTTAATTACATTACATAATTTAATTCCTTTATTTAGACTTATATTCTAATTTGAGTGCACACATTTTAGTTAATATAAGTCTGATTTACTTTAGTTTGCTTAGTTTGCTTTAAGGTCACGTTATTATCACTTATTATTTTCTGAATTATAATTATTTGCCTTCTTGTCACTTTGATTAAGTTAGTAGTTTAGTTAATTATTTAGTGTAATTCCTCCCTCTTGTGTTTAGCTTTAGTTGGTCCTCATGTATTTAAACACCCCTGTTCTTTGTCTGGTTGGGTTAGTTTTGTTCTGCTCAGTTGGATTTAAATTACCCCATTTGGGCTTGGCTTTTTTCTTAATAATTTGCCTTATTTGAGGCTTTGTTAAATTATATCTTTTTTTTTTTACTTTATTAAATTTAAACTTATTTTTATGCCTTGTCTTTACCTTTCTGTTTGGTCCACTACATTCTAAACCTAGCCTGATTCACCAGCTGGTTTCACTTCGTGGAAACCGTCTGACCTCGCAGCATTAGGATTCATTCGCTCCATGGTAGGCGGGTACTTTTTTTATTTATATTTATTTATTAACTGATCGCTGCTATTTGGTTGTGACGTATATAATGCGCCAGAAAGCTCAGTGGTGTCCAAGTAATTGCCGGCACAACAGCAAACAAAGCAGAGAGTGAACATGTCTGTGAACGATCATTGTCATTTCTGGGAAGTGAACTTGTGAATTAAAGGTGCAATAAAAAATGCGAAGTTTGTATTTGTCTAAAGGAAGATAGTGTATGCAGTCTGCTATTGCAACTCGGGTTGGTTCAGTTCTTCGCTGATTAGCTGGTGTGTGATCTACAACTTCTGAGGTTCTTGCAAACTGTCTAGTATGTTCTGATTCCTGACCTAGTCCCTGGAAAGAAATGAAATTGAGCAGTGCACAAGGTGGCACCAGCCTGACTATTTTAACCCTCACGCTCTCCTCTGGGTCAAATAGACCCGAATACATTTTTTTTTTTCCTTCCTGCTCTCTTGGGGCGGGTCAATCAAACCCAAAAATGTATTTTCTCGCCTGGTGAGAAAAAGCGAGAAAATACATTTTTGGGTCTGACTGACCCCGAGGAAAGTGTGAGGGTTAAATCTGGACTGAAAAGTAAAAAGTACTTTTCTTAATGGTTTGAGACCTGCTGAAACAGCTGACATGTATTTTTTCTTTTAGCACATTTAATTTGAGTTAACATCCCAACTTTGGATCATTTCAGCCTTGGAACTGCCAATTTCTAAGGCCAATCTGCAAGACATCACAAGGATGAACAGAGCATTTTGACCTTTGGAGATGTAGACGTAAGAATACTCAAACTTGTGAATGAAACAAAACACCTGGTATGTTTTTGAGGCAGTAACAACATTATAACATGACTAAAAGCTCTCAAGAGTGTGTGTAATCTACAGTACAGACCTTTAAATATCGGCTTGTACCCACCTCTGATCATGGGACAGGTCCATGGCTCGGATCCCCGCGTCACATCCCGGGTAGGTGTAGAGGAGAGAGAGGTCCCAGGCCTGCCACACCTCCACCACCCCTCTGTCTCCTCCGGTCAGCAGACAGAGCCCGTCACTGCTCAGCACCATGGCCTACAGGGGGCAGCAGAGAGGGGGTCACAGGGCTGCTCAAACTGGGGTACGGTTGGTTCATTATGGCTAAAAGTTTGTCTTAAAAGGCCCATATTACACTGCTTTCTGATCTATTTTATCATCACAAACATAACTTGCTACTTATTTAGAATTTATTATTACCATTTATATTTTTTACTCTTTGTTATTATATTTATTGTGATTTGTGAGCGAATGTGTCCAAATAATTTCTCTTGTGGATCAATAAAGTTTGTCTAAGTCCAAGTCTAAGAATCATTTGGATCATTTCAGTCCTGGAATTGCCAACCTCTACTGAACAAAAGATAAAAGCTAACTTGAAAATTACTGCTTCATGAGGTGGAACAGAGCATTTTAAGATTTGGAGATGTGGACAGATTAATAATAAATGATTACTCAAACACAGTGGCGGAGTTAGAAATTTGGGGGCCCTAGGTGAACTTGAGTTTGGGACCCTTACTATAACGTACCGTGTTTTTTTAAAATGTATTTATTATCTCTATTTATTTGAATTATAGTGGATTGGAAACTTGTCTTATTAAGTCTGTCACCTACTAGATAACCAGAGCTGAAAATAGTTATATTTTTTTTTACTAGTACAATTATATTTTTGTTTACATTAATAATAATAACAATACAAAAAAAATAAAATAAAATAAAAATAAATAATAATAATAATACATTTTATTTTTTAGGAGCCCAGGGTTTTATTTATTTATTATTTATTTTATTTATTTATTATTTATTTATTTATTGGGACAGTATTTTAATTCACTGATTGGATTTAATTTAATTTCATTACATATGATTATTATGATTCTTCTCATGATTATTGTTTAATTAAAGTAAACTACTCTCATTTAATGCCATACTGAGAGAAAATCAAATTGCACTGAGGGCGATTAGTTGGGGGCCCCCCTCCAAGTTTGGGGGCCCTAAGCAGCCGCCTACTTTTGCCAAATGGTAACGCCGCCCCTGTCACTGTGTTTTAAAACTCCACACACTTTCACTAGAATCATTTGGATCATTTCAGCTCTGGAATTGGAAACCTCTGCTGAACTAAAAGTAAAAAGTAACTTGGAACAGAGCATTTTAAGAAACAAAACACCACTCCAGGTCTGTTTTGATGAGGAAACGCAACATAAATCAAAAAGTAGCGTAAAATGGGCCCTTTAAGTTGCTCTAAATTAAATAAAATCCTGAATCATGCACATAGGACACCCTGTCGTCTGTTCGTACCCTCGTCGTGTCCTGGATCTCCATGTGAGCCAGCAGTTTCCCGTTGATGCTGAAGCTGCAGACGTGTCCGCGCTGGTAGCAGACGATGCAGTGGCCCTCAGAGGACACAGAGATGAGGAGGGGCCCCGGGCAGTGGTCAGGGCCCTCCAGAGCCCGCAGCAGCTCTCCTGTGATGGTGTGGACCAGACACGGACCCTCTGACACAACCAAACAAAAACACAGATTCAAAACTGTTGTTCAAGGTGCTGATTTTTATCATCTTAAAAACACAACAAAGGAATAGTTCATTTTAAATCATTTGCAGTGGTCCAAAGTTATTTCTCATCCTAATTATTCACCGTGATCAGAGTTTATAAGCGCTTTTCACTACTCTCAAAGTCCAGAGGAGGGTTTTGCAGCCATGGCAGTGCTAACAACAACCATGCTTACAACGCACTTCCTGATTCATAGACAATACAGCATTACAGCACACTGCAGTGTAGTCAAGTTAAGTTGGCTTGAAGTAAGACAGTTTTACCATGATTTGAGTAAATTTCACTTGACGAGTAAAATGATCTGCCAATGGAACAAGACTTTTTGTACTTAAAATATGAAAATATGTCTTGCTGCACTTAAAATAAGAAAAACAAGAACTTTTTGCACTTAAAATAAGAAACAAAATCTAATGTTGCTTTAATTAAGAAAAACACAGTTATTCCACTAGTAGATCATTTTGCTTGTCAAGCTCAAATAAAGCAAAATGTTCTTAATTTAAGTCTTTTAAATTTACCTAGATATTGTTTTCCATTGTAGATACAGATATTTTTCTTATTTTGGCCTTAGTTCATACAATACATTCATACAATTGAAGTTTTTCTTAATTCTCAGACTTTTTACACGAAGTACCACAGAAGCAGCAGTGGAACGTAATGAAGTAAAACTAGTAAAATACTGTATTTAAGTTAAATTTGAGGTATCTGTACTTTACTTAACTTGATTTACATACATTTAAAGTGGATACTTTTTACTTTTACTTCACTACATCTGTACTTTCTACTCCACGACATTAAAAAAAAAGAAAGTACTGAAGTTTAAGTTTTCCCAAATTGGCAATTTTTTAAGTTTAAAATTTTACTTTAGTGGTTGGAAATCGTGATGTCACACAGGAGAATTTCTTCACTATTACCAAGCAAAACTCCTCTAATGTACAAAAACATTATTATGTGACAAATACACATATAAAAAAACATCTTTATTTTGTTGAAATCCTGTAATTTTTAACATTTTTTTGAAATTTTCTCCCAAAATTACTTCTTGATTTGAGCAAAACTATAATTTATATTTACAATAGTTATAATCACACCAAAATTAAAGGTTAACTGTGTGTTTCTCTCTGTGGAAATGCTGCCTGGAATGTTCCACAGTATGGCATTAGACATTTATCTCTACAGAGACAGCAGACGATGCCACAGGGCCACGTTACATGTCAGATCTGCGGCAAGGCGAGTCCAACCTGAGTAAGAATGCAAGTTTTTAAGCCAATTAAGCGACATATCATTGAGTAAACTGAAGATGGAAATGTTTAAAGCCACACTGGGACATTCCAGAGCAAGTAACAGCATCTCCATGGAGACAAGCAGATAGATACAAGTTACAAAGTGTGAGTATTTTAAAGAAATAAATAAGCAAATGAGTGAGGATTTATGTTTTTTGTTTAAGAGTCTATAGTAAAGCATAAAGAAGGAAACAGCAGTGACCTTTGGCTCCGCTGATGACCAGCCCCAGCTCTGCGCACACCGCCGCACACGCCACCTCCTGGTCATGACCCGTCAGTGCAGCTCGGGGGGCCGGGTACTCACCTGCACAACACACAAAAACAGGAGGTTAGCGGAAGTTTGATTTATGTCCTATTCATTTATTTTTTTGACAATTTTTTGATGTTATAAAGTTGTTGGAGTTGTGTTTTGTTTCATTAACACACGTTCAACACACAAATCCTGCATAATTAGGCTGAAAATTTAAGTGTAAAATCCAGTTTTATACTTGAAAACTACCGCGTCATGACATCACAAGGTGTAACAGAGCATTTTTAGCTTTGGAGATGTAGAAGAACTAATAATAAAGAGTTACTCAAACATGTGTGAATGAAACAAAACACAACTCCACGTCTGTTTTGGCTGAAGTAATAACATTCTAACATGATTTAAAACTCACTGGAGTCAATTTCGTGTAATCTGGGGCCTTTATAGTAGAGATTTTAAGTGATTTGTTGTGTTATAGAAGCAAGTTTCACTAAACAAGACATTAAAACATTTATCAATTACAGTGTCATAGTTGTTTTTTGTTTTTTTTTTTCTTGAAATCATCTCGCGAACCCAGTTTAACCTCTAGACCCCCATTTTGGAACCGCTCTACAATACCTTCTCTATTTTATCCCTATATTGTTGAGTGTAACAGTACTCTTATTTAAGTAAAAGTTGTGCTTCCTCTTCCCACTGTAAGTCTACAAGTGACAAAAGTTTTATGTGACAATATGAAATGATTCCTTCCGGTGGAATATGCCCGGTTTCGTGCATTATTTCATGTTTAATCCTTCAAATTATGTTAACTTCAAATTATAAATCATGTCACGCTTACAGTTACTCTTACTTGAGTAGTAGTTTTTTAACTCTAATTTTTTGACACATTTTTTGGAACATTATATTTTACTTTTACTTGAGTACCTTTTTGAATTAAGGTACGTAGATTTTGAACAACTTTACTGAGTACATCTGTTCTGGGACACGTTTTGTTCATACATGTGCACTGTTACAACTGAAGTTTTTCTTCCTCTAGAGCAGGAATTCTCAGACTTTCAGACTAAATACTGTACTGTATTTTTACTTTTTACTTTTACTTCACTTTTTAGCTACTTCACTACCCATGATGACTAAAAATCAAAACGATGAACTTCGGGTTCTGGTTTAGCCCTGGTTAAATCCTAGTTTAACCTTGGTTTAGTCCTAGTTTAGCCCTGATTTAGTCCTGGTTTAGCCATGGTTTAGGCCTGGTTTAGTCCTAGTTTAGCCCTGATTTAGTCCTGGTTTAGTCCTGGTTTAGCTCTGGTTTAGTCCTGGTTTAGCCATGGTTTAGGCCTGGTTTAGTCCTAGTTTAGCCCTAGTTTAGTCCAACTTTATTCCTGATTTAGTCCTGATTTAGCCCTGATTTAGCCCTGGTTTAGTTCTGGTTTAGTCCTGGTTTATTTCTGGTTTAATCTTGGTTTAGACCTAGTTTAGATCTGGGTTAGTCCTCATTTAGTCCTTGTTTAGTCCTGGTTTAGTCATAGTTTAGCCCTGATTTAGTCCTGGTTTAGTCCTGGTTTAGACCTGGTTTAGCCCTGATTTAGTCCTGGTTTATTTTAGATGTAAACAGTATTAGTCTCGGTCCAGAGTTGATTTAACATGTTGTAGCACAATGACGACGAGCGGAGCAGCTGTGATGAGGGATTGTCATGTAAATCCAGGACAAATCCAGAGCCGCGTGGACGTGTCACATGATTGATGGTGACAGGGGGCGGGGTCCTTTTACCTTCAGTTCAGTAGACGTGGGCAAATCCAGGGGCTGAAATGATCCAAGTAATTCTACTGAAGGTTCATGGAGTTTAAAAACACAGTGGAGTTCTTCCTGTATTACCACATGACATCACAAGTTGGAACAGATAGTGCGTTCGATTATCCATCTGACTCAGAGGTCCGAAGACGTTGCCTAATGACACACCGAGACGCCCCTTTTCCTCGGATGACGCAACTTGGAGGAGGCCGAGCAACATTTTTGAGATAGAATCCAAGCCGGCTGGACCCAGAGTCACTTGTATGAAGTGTTTTCATTGTGTTTGGACACTTTGGTGGTTTAAAAGGCAATTTCAGTCACTCGTATTACTGCAGTACTCATAGACCGTATATTTAAATGGACGTAATGGGCTCCTTCTGACTTTGGCTCCAATTGACTTACATTAGGATCTTGTGACTCCTCTCTCTGTAACTGCTGCTGTGAGCCTCGTCATATTGGTCTTAAAATGTTCATATTAACCTGCTCTACATGATCCTGATTCACAGTTTTTGCTCTTGTAACTGTGAGTATCGCGAGCTTCATTTGAGCTGCGCTGAATGCTGTGGGTGACGTCACAGTCACTTAGTTCACTTCTTTATACAGTCTATGGCAATATAATACTGCGTATGTATTAGTACAGTACATTACTGTGTATGTATTACTGCAATACTTTACTGTGTATGTATTACTGCAGTACCTTACTGCAGTACCTTACCGCGTCTGTATTACTGCAATACTTTACTGCATCTGTATTACTGCAATACTTTACTGCATCTGTATTACTGCAATACTTTACTGCATCTGTATTACTGCAATACTTTAGTGCATCTGTATTACTGCAATACTTACTGCATCTGTATTACTGCAATACTTTACTGCGTCTGTATTACTGCAGTACCTTACTGTCTGTATTACTGCAATACTTTACTGCGTCTGTTTACTGCAATACTTTACTGCGTCTGTATTACTGCAATACTTTACTGCGTCTGTATTACTGCAATACTTACTGCATCTGTATTACTGCAATACTTTACTGCATCTGTATTACTGCAATACTTTACTGCGTCTGTATTACTGCAATACTGCTATTACTGCGTCTGTATTACTGCAATACTTTACTGCGTCTGTATTTACTGCATACTTACTGTGTCTGTATTACTGCAATACTTTTACTGCAATACTTTACTGCATCTGTATTACTGCAATACTTTACTGCGTCTGTATTACTGCAATACTTTACTGCGTCTGTATTACTGCAATACTTTACTGCGTCTGTATTACTGCAATACTTTACTGCGTCTGTATTACTGCAGTACTTTACTGCATCTGTATTACTGCAATACTTTACTGCGTCTGTATTACTGCAATACTTTACTGCGTCTGTATTACTGCAATACTTTACTGCGTCTGTATTACTGCAATACTTTACTGCGTCTGTATTACTGCAATACTTTACTGCGTCTGTATTACTGCAATACTTTACTGCGTCTGTATTACTGCAATACTTTACTGCATCTGTATTACTGCAATACTTTACTGCATCTGTATTACTGCAATACTTTACTGCGTCTGTATTACTGCAATACTTTACTGCGTCTGTATTACTGCAATACTTTACTGCGTCTGTATTACTGCAATACTTTACTGCGTCTGTATTACTGCAATACTTTACTGCGTCTGTATTACTGCAATACTTTACTGCATCTGTATTACTGCAATACTTTACTGCATCTGTATTACTGCAATAACTTACTGCGTCTGTATTACTGCAATACTTTACTGCATCTGTATTACTGCAATACTTTACTGCATCTGTATTACTGCAATACTTTACTGTCTGTATTACTGCAATACTTTACTGCATCTGTATTACTGCAATACTTTACTGCGTCTGTATTACTGCAATACTTTACTGCATCTGTATTACTGCAATACTTTACTGCGTCTGTATTACTGCAATACTTTACTGCATCTGTATTACTGCAATACCTTACTGCGTCTGTATTACTGCAATACTTTACTGCATCTGTATTCTGCAATACTTTATTACTGCAATACTTTACTGCGTCTGTATTACTGCAATACTTTACTGCGTCTGTATTACTGCAATACTTTACTGCGTCTGTATTACTGCAGTACCTTACCGTGTCTGTATTACTGCAATACTTTACTGCGTCTGTATTACTGCAGTACCTTACCGTGTCTGTATTACTGCAATACTTTACTGCGTCTGTATTACTGCAATACTTTACTGCATCTGTATTACTGCAATACTTTACTGCGTCTGTATTACTGCAATACTTTACTGCATCTGTATTACTGCAATACTTTACTGCATCTGTATTACTGTAATACTTTAGTGCATCTGTATTACTGCAGTACTTTACTGCGTCTGGATTACTGCCAGTGGGTATGGTAGTATTACTGCAATACCTTACGGTGTCTGTATTAGTGCAGTACTTTATTGCGTCTGTATTACTGCAATAATTTACTGCATTTGTTCAGTTTTTTTCGCCCATTTCCTGCTAACGTGCCAAAATAATCGACTATCACGCCACACCAACACTTTCACTTCACTAATTCACTGAATTATACTATTTCCACAGATTTATTCTTCCTTGAGGTTGTGTAGTTGAAGCACAGACTTATTTTGGAGCGCCTGAGACTTGGCCAATGCTAAAGCAACAACAGCTTTCTGGTTAGTGTCCACGTTTTTCTCAGAGTCGGACAAACGAAACATAATAAAACATTTAAACATGACGTCATATCCGAGATCCGAGTGGGAGACAAGAGTGTTTTCAGTTTGAGAATATGCAGGATTAGTGTATTAAACTTGCGTGAATGAAACAAAACACAAATTCCGGGTTTGTTTTTGACGAGGAAACCGCATTATAACAGTTTAACACGGGTCCTTGAATGCCCCGTAAAAGTGTAATAACGCCTCTTTAACAAAAAAAACACTCGCTGTATTGATTTTCTTTCCAACTAAAACCAAGACTTCAGCAAATTCCATGTCCAAACTTTGTGAATGACAGCTCCTATCCTGCTCCATGATTCGGACACATGTCACACCTGCCTCTCCTCATCACCCTCCTCCTCCTCCTCCTCCTCCTGTCCTGTCCCCAGCGCAGGTGTAAGGGCCCGGGGTGTGAGCTCTGCGGCGAGAAAAGGGGGAAAGGGAAGAGGAGGGGGGGGTGGGGAGCTGGGGGTGTCCCTGGAGAGTCGGCCTGTCACCGCCACGGCTGAAACGGGGGACGAGGAGGAGGAGGAG